TAGTTAGTATGTTATTGTATTTTAAGTATTTTCAAAGTCTCGTTTTATATAAAGCCTTTAGACATTTTTTAAAAATATTCATCGTCTCAAAAAGTATTGATCTGCATTTTATTATTTATAAGTCCAGAAATTTAAGTAATACTTACAGTACATTTATCGTGTATATTTATATACCAGTTATTTGAGATTGTCATGAACGACGTTTAAAATTGTTAGATAGAAAATATCACGGATTCGTAGATGAGGCGATGACAAATAATTGCATCATATGACTCACACTCGGAAAAAATGTATATTTCAGTTAACAATTTTTTATTAGAATACGTACATATAAGTCTAGGAATGGCTAGCCTTCAAAAAAATTGTCAAAAAAATGCGATGAAAAAAATTTTATATTTGATCAGGAAAACCTAATCGCAAAATAAAAAATAGAGCTAAATTAATAAAATATTATATGAAATAAAATAAAATGTTACATCAAAATATATCATTATCTATTGCTATATATATATTTATATAAGTAAACAAGTAGAATAGTTAGTTTAACGTAAGAATAATTAATGTAGGATGCATTTTTCTTGTTTTATGTTGTTTATAAATGTTATAAATGCTTTTATCACAATTTGCTATAAACGGTATATTTTCGAATGTTGAAAAAAAAAAATTCACATAAAAGTATAAGCCTTAAACTTTGTTCTAAATAATTTGATAATAAGTTAAGATTATGATCTCATATGTAATGCAAATTTAAGAAATTATTAAACTTTTTGAGTTCCGAGATCAATACTTTAAGAATCAGTTTTATTCACTACGAAGGAAAAATTATGAAAAAAAAAATTGAAAGTTCTACGAATAATTAATTACAAGAAGTTGTAGATTTCTTGGTTTCTACAAACTTTTGTCAACATTTAAAATACAATCATGTATAAAAGAAATCGTGGCTTTATATGTTCAATATATTTCCATTAAGGTCTTGTACGACGTATATTATTAATAAGAACTGAATAAATGGTTGACGTTTGAACAATGAACGCACGAAATATGGTCGTAACAGTACAACGGATTTCAGACGTAATAAATAGAAATACGGTTGTCGCGGTAATGGCAGGTGTTCAGTACAGACCAGTTCAGCAGTGGTACCCGGCAGACGTCGTCGTGTTCAGCCCGCATTCCCGCCCTGTCGTGTAAGGGTGAACAGGTTGCCTCTTCGATGTGGTATTGTGCTTGTCGAGGGTACAGAGCCACGCCGACGACGGACATTTATTTGTGACAATGCGCTATGCAATTTTTATTTTATTTTTTAATCATCATATTACATTATATTTATTTATGAAAATGCCCTACGTGATATTTATTATATTTTTAAATCATCATATATTTACGAGTATGTTTGAAAATTCATATATACTTTTTCCGCCGTGTAGGAACTTACATATGTACTTTTTTCTATCGTGTAGGAACTAATGTATGTATTTTTTTCACCTGCTACTCTCGTGTAGGAATATACATTCGCCCTTTGATATAGAGGTGCCGCTCGGATCCACATTGTATTCACGTCGCCTCACTATAGATGGAAATCGGGGGGGAAGGCTTGGGGAAATTAGCCTCCCCCAGCAATGTAAATTACAGGTCTTCGCCCCTCTAGCCCTAAAAATTGTTAAATGACTAAAAACACAATAATTATTATAATTGTAAAAGGCATTTTTAATAACTGAATAACAAAAATAAATATTCTGTGATAAAAATTAAATCAAATTCGTAACATTTTACAAACTTATTGTATATTTCAAAAATGTTTAAGATAAGGTGAAGTAGCAGAAAGAGCAATTTTAGCAGCAAAAAATGTGGACGTCAACGAATTGAATTTTAAGATACAACATTTGTTACCAGGACACTTAGTGTCATAAAAATCTATTGAAACAGTTTGTGATGTTACTGAAGCTGTAAATTATCCAACAGAGTTTTCAACAGGCACGTCGTCAAGGGGGGGGGGGGTCTTAGGGGGTCTGGCACTCTAAGAAAAATCATTGGCCCTGAACTGACCCCCTTGATTTTGATTTTTAAATATTATGGTGTTTAGTTGTCTCAAACCGGTTAAATCCTGAATGTATATTTCATATGGGCGATTGTAAACTCCTCTAGAGTATCGGTTAAAATAAAATGATAGTAAAAGATCTAGTGTAAGCTCCGCCAATTTTTTTTTCTTACCTGTAATGGGTGTATGTAAACTCCTCCATTTTTTTTTTTTTTTTTGTTTACCTGCTCAGTGCTCATATTTCCACGTGCCTTCTCACATTAAATAGGTTAACATCTTTTGTGATTTTGTAGGTCAAAATTGATAAAACTATTAATGGTTCTATTCATTTCATGGTGGATATATATCCACATTGATTCATTTATTAATAATTTTATCTTCATAATATCTGAAATTAGTATTTCCAATGATGATGTCGGCAGTAGGTAAGGTATACGTAAAGTATTCATTGCCGAACATAATAATTCGTAAGCTGCGGGTCTCCGTGTATATTTTATATTGAACGAAATATGTCTGAACGAAATATTTTGCAACAAAGTAATAATATAAAATTAATTACTGGTCAACGAGGAAATTTATTGGTTTTATTTAACAACTATAAATATAATCAAAATATAAAATATGCGTCTGGTGAAATAAAATGGAGGTATGATATTATATAATATTATAATAATAATACTCACTTATTATTACTTATTACGTATTATTTTTAATAATATATCATATAAATTTTATACTACTACTCGATTTTTTTCACTGGCGGAGTTTACATGTATTCAATTTTACCTGTTTTTTTTTAGTGGTGGAGCTTACATGAACCCAATTTTACCTGTTTTATTTTTCTGGTGGAGTTAACAGTAAAAAAAAGGTACTTGTGGCGGAGTTTACATGCGCTCATTCCTAGTGGTCGACTTGGCAAAATTAAAGAAAGGGGACTCTGTTTGCTTAAAAAAAATTGCGTCCCCAAACTTGTTAAGCGTTATAGTTATAATATCATAATAGTAGGGGGACGCTCAAATTTCTAAAAATTAGAAGGGGTACGCCGTCCCCCTGCGTCCTCCCACAAGTCGAGCACTGCCTATTCTATATAATTAAAGATCGAATAACAAAAATTAAATTCTGAAATTTTATTTTATAAATATTCGTCACTTGACAATTTGAGATAAGACATTAGTACGTGTATTAATAGATTGAAAACTAGGATTTCCAAATACGGATATCGAACGCACATTTGATAAACATAACTACAGAAAGGGGCCAAAAAATGTTGGCCCCCTTAATAGAAATATTTTTGGTTACGTGCCTGGTTGTTAAGCTCATTGGATTTATCAGGCATGCCACTGCATAATTTACAACTGAAGGTTGGATCTCCGGTTATTATACTTCGTAATTTGATGTGCCAATACAATTTCAACGCCTTCAATTTCCAATAAGAATGGCTTTTGCAATAACCATCAATAAGTCTCAAGACCAAACGATGTCTGTCTGTGGCTTAGATTTAAGCACATCATATTTTTCACACTGATAATTATACGTGGCGTCCTCTCGAACCATTCAGTTTGTGTTGGCGAAAGATGGGATAACAAAAAATATTGTACACTCTGTTGCATAAAGGGATTGATATTACTTTTTACTAATATTGTCATAATTAGCGTTGTATATAATTTTAAAGGATCAATTTCAATAAATTATTAAAAAAATAAATGTGAGATGGTTTTTCATTTTTATATTCCGTCACCGTTCACAGCACTCCATATCTTTTCCACTTATATATCACATCCTTACGCACTTATATTAAATTAGTTATTTTTTTCTAACCAAATATTCTCTAGAAATAATGTATATGACAAAAAAAAGTTTGTTGGGTCAGTTAGTATATATATAATAACATAAAATATTAATGTAAAACATATCCATGGTATTCCGTAGCCCGAAACATTACGAGAACTATACGTTATATACAGATTATTATAATACATTCATATATAAACATCTAAAAACATAGCACATGATGCGATTTGGGAATACGACGGCAAGAATAACAAATGGAGTCTTATGACCGACACATTTTAATGGTTAACCTTTGCCAGACGATTAGTACTGAGATTAACTGTTTCCGTTCGGCTATAGGTTTAAATAAAAATTAAAAAATATGTTGTCTTCGACATAAATCAATGCACGCGCACGCGCCCGTAGAATGTTTTAGGTAATAGAAAACTCAAAAAATAAATAAGTGAAATACAATAACCATGTTAGATGCGCATTTCGGTTTTATAGGAGTACAATAAAACATACGAGATCCGTAAATCGATTTTGAAAAATGTTTAATCTTCGTAAACAGTTGTGTCCGTTATGAGGGTCGCGACGAATCACAGTGAAAAAAAAAAAAAAATGAAAAAAATCGCCGTCCGACACATATGACCCTCGGCACAGTGGGAGTAAATATACCCTCGCTCCTACTCCCTGGCGCTCCGGGGGGCGTGCATGAGTCAATCGTATGCCTTTATTATTCTTGTAGCCAGTGAAGGTGGAATTACTCGGAACAAGGGAACGTGTACAAGACTCGGGGCGCGAAAACGTCGAGCATAGTGCACGCATCTCCGGAAGCTGGGGTTGTGGGGGGGGGGGGGGGGGGGGGGGGACAGGTGCGGGGGGTGGGGGGCGGGCGCGGGGGGGGGGGGGGGGGGGGGGGGGGGGGGTAGAGTGAAGGAATACATTTGTGAAACACGGATCGCAACCGTGGCGGCGGTCGGCGGTGGCGGGAAGGGCAGGTACTGCTATCGAACCGGACATCACGCGCCGCCCGGACCGTTCATTACCTCAGCGACCACCAACGTTCGCGTTCGTACGTGCAAGAGTTGCACCGATCGATTCTCAGCGACTCAAACGCGCGCGCCCGTAGCGACCGGGATCTGAGACGTATACAGCGTGTACGTATACGTGTTTCGTAACACGCGATAACAAAATGATCGACCAGCAGCAGACGGCGTTGGACCCATTGACCATTGTCAAGATGTTGGCGGTGATCGTGCTGGGCCTGGGCTCGTTCGTGCTGGGCCTGGTGCCATTGAAACTGGTTCAGATGTGGGACCGGGACCAAGAAATCGCGGCCAGCATCCGGCCCCGCGCCACGGCCAACCTTCGCGCCAATGCCACGGCCACGCGCACGGCAAGGCAAGTGCACGAGAGCGTCTCACCCGCTGTCTCCAAGCTGCTGTGCTTCGGCGGCGGCGTGCTGCTGTTCACCACGCTGCTCCATCTGCAGCCCGAGGTGCGCGACCATGTGGTGCAGCTGCAGCATGCGGGCCGGCTGCCAGAGGGCCCGGTCATCGAGAACTTGGGCGACCTGATATTCTGTGCGGGTTTCTTTGCCGTGTTCGCTGTGGACGAGTTGGTGCACTGGGCGCTGGACCGGTTCGCGGACAGCCACGAGCGCTCGGGTACGGGCCGCAGGGTGCGTGCGCTGCACCGGTCCATGAGCCTGAGACGTCGCGGCCGGGCCGTGCAGGCCGAGGGCTCGGACGACCCGAAGGCGGCCGGCACCGCGGGCAAGGCCGATGAGGCACATAACGACACCGAGGACAGTTGGTCTAACGCGGCTACCGTGCAGGACGCGGCCGTGATCGTGATCGAGCCACCGGCACGCGAGAGGCGCGACGGCGAGCGCAGCATCACGCTGACCACCGCGGAGAACGCTAACAGCGGCCCGTCGTTCCGGCACCTGTTCGCCGTGTTGGCGCTGTCGTTCCACGAGGTAATCGAGGGCCTGTCCATTGGGATGATGCAGAACGTCGACGACACGTGGTACCTGTTCGTGGCCGTGGCCGTGCACAAGCTGGTCATCGCGTTCTGCATCGGCCAAGAGCTGGCCTGGTCCCGCGTCGGCAAGCGGGTGACCGTCACGTACGTGGCGACGTTCGCGTTCATCACGCCATTCGGCATCTCCATCGGCATGGCGCTCTCTTACTTCGACACCAACGATGATTCCCCGGGGCCGCTGTCCGTCGTCTTGCAAGGGGTGGCCTCCGGCACCCTGCTATACGTCGTGTTCTTCGAGGTGCTGGCCAGGCACAGGAAACCGGGCCAATGGCACTTGCTGTCCATAATTCTCGGGTTCGGCATCATGTTTACGCTGCAGATGGCCAGTAAGTACACGCTTTGTAGAACACTGCTGCACGTGAGAATCGCGTAGCTTCAACTTGTAGACATCACGATTTGATTTGATTAATATCCAACATGTTACACGTGCGGCCATCTCGCGTTTTTACCGTGTTATAATATAAAAATATCTCATTGTCTCGCCGTCTACAGTTTACTGTTGCGCCATTCTCAGTGCCGGATTACCTATTAGGCGGAGTTGGCGCCCGCCTTAGGGCTTCACTCATTTAAGGGGCCCTGTGAAAACGGAAAACTATATATTTTTTTATTTAATAATGCATGTATTTTATTTACGAATTTACGGGATAAAAATCATTATGACATACAATATATATATATATTAAGTTGTAGGCGTTATAGATAGTAATAATGATTTTGAAAATAATAGAAATAATACGAGTATAATAATTTATTGATTTTTCTTGCTAATAAAAAAAATTCAATAAATTCGATTTTGTTTATAAATAATAGTTGATTATTATTAAAGCTATTTATTTTAATTATTAGATAGTAATGTTAAAAATGTATGTAAAAAATTATTTTATAGGGACCAACATTTGAATTGCCTAAGGGCCCACAAATGTTTAATCCGGCGCTGGCCATTTCCCAGTTACTTCCGGTCGTTTAATCTTTTTCCATTTCGGCTTACGATAACCGTAATCGTTCTGCACAAATTGGTTTTTTTCCTCCTGTTTATAATCGCCGCTGACAAAACAAACGTCTAAAAGTAGGATAAATATTGTGATACAGTAACGATCGAATTCTCGATAAACGTTGACGTCATAAAAAAAAAAAATATATATATTAACCGTTGCTAGATGTCTACAACGAGTTGGGGAATTCATCATAAAAACTATACGTAACAGTTGTGTAAAGTAAAAATATTACATTTGTTTATGTATAATTCGATGTATAAAAATAGACATTTTGAATAACAGGAATGTATAATTTTTAAAAGTATTGTTACGTGCACTATTTGTTTAATCCGTATTAAAAAAACACCCATTTTGATTCTAAATTAGTTATAAAAAATTGTATATTTTAAAATTTGATTGGTATCTGAACAAAAAATTAGTGTTTCCTGAGTCCATAGTTGTTAGGTATTTATATTTTTTCACAAATAGACATACATAATTTAGTAACAGAATTCATATTTTAAAATACATAAAAAAAAAAATTTTAGTATGAGTGTTTGATTTAAAATATCGTTTGATATGCTTTGGTATAACAAAAACCTTTAAAATATGCAAAACAAAATGATATAATTCTACTCTTCGTAGTCTAAAACGCGTTTGCATATCATTAGAATGGGTTTTAGTGTATTAGGTTTTATAAATCGTTTACGCTGTTCGGATAAATGTGTACCGTAATTCAATTCATCCACGTTATATAAGTTTTCATTCGAATAACACAAATAAATACTTAGTCTCACGTGCAGGTATTATTTTCAAAAACAATTGCCTAGGATATAACCATTTTTATTTTCTTAGTAATAACGATTAAAAGTAAGCGAGCTATTATAAATGTTAACTCGCACACCATAAATAGGTAATATAATTAGATTAAACGGCTACAGAAAAAATACGTCTAATTAAATAAATTATGCTTCGAGTTTGTCTTTTTATCTTATACTATATTTTACCTTAAACAAATGATATTCTAATATAATTTACAGTACCTATACGATTATAATATTTACGAGTGTATTTTAATAATTTAACAAATAATTATCCATATTATATTTTATCTTTTTGACCATGACTATTTAGAAATTGGTATAACTAAACTAATTATTCACAAATACTTTATCTTACTCTATAAGCGTTAAATATTATGTATGGCGTTCGAGTAGTAAACCAAGTTTTGACGTAGATATTTTTATTATTGGCACATTGTTACATAGAGCATAGAACACATTTTGTGGATATTTAAATAAATACTCGATAGACAAGGGAAAAATGGTTATTTTAATATTTTTCAATTAATTCTGCGTTGCAATATTTCTTCACGTAATGTATTGAGGATTTCATACAAGAACTTTGGTGTACAATTTTCAAATTTATAAAATATTTCTCTACTGTTATACTTGTATAAAAAATTCATTTTTGTTCAACACTCTATCATTTTAGTGTACACGAGTATACAATTCATGCACGCACATGTACACGCACACGCACACGCATACACAAGCACACGCACATCGTGTTGTACAATAATACATAGCAATATATTGTCGCCGCCCAAAATCTGTAATTATGTAATGACGCAAACAGGATCTTAGATAAATCTGCCCCTTCTACACACACACACACACACACACGCGCGTATTTTAACGTTTTTTTTTGTGCGTGCGTACGTATGTGCGCGCACGTGTATAATAATTTGAAACGTTTTTTTTTTCTTCGTCTTACCTCAATTACTAATACACGTATTTCACTTTTGATTTTTAAAATTGACGTAGAATTAAAAGGAAAGGAAGATCGAGAAAGAGATAGTTTAATGGAATTTAGGGGGACTGGTGTATTTGAGACCGGTCTAAGTGGCGGTGGCGGACGAAGGTGGCCTACCCCATGTAGTCGGGGAAGAATGCAAGCGTACTATAAAAAAAAATATATATAAATGTGTTGTATTAATACTATTCATCTTTTAGTGTACAGGTTAGCCGACTATTTGATTATATAGCATACAATATGGTTGAATGTTTTAACGAAAACATTGTAGGTGCTCCTCTTTGTACTTATATATATTTACGAAGTATCAATAGTTTAACTAGCGCAATAAAATACATTTAAAAAAGTAATTATTTTTTGTTAGCATACATTAACATTTTCATTAACCTTTGGTGATCGTGTTATTGAAGAGTAAATAATATTTCCATTATAGTTAATAAAACTGCTTGGTATTAATTTATCATGAAATAGGTACCAAGCATATTATTAAACTAATCGAAAACATAATTTTTTATAGATCATCTACACCATTTAAGTACTAAAGACCAACGTATTGACGGTTAATAGTCACAAATATTAAGTTTTCTTCTTGATTTTAATTTTTAATTCGTATTGAAATATACTTTTATAACAACACAATTCAGCAAATCAATAAATATTGTATTACTGTTGATCCGATAAATTATTTTTAACAATTCTCTTCTGTTATTTTAAAGAAATAACGATAATAGGGAAATGAGGTTTTATTTTTTCATTTGCTTTTAGCCCGTACAATTTTTAATGAATATACTAAATTGTAGTATTTATATTGTTTTGGTATTTGATAATTATAATACATTGATTGGATGTTTTTTAACAAAACGTGCAGGTCATTGCAGGAAGCTACAAATCGAAACATGTTCTATGTTTCTACGCATCTATATATTCGTGTATTCTTAATTAATGTTGATCGATTTGGTAAAAAAAAAATACATATGTATACACAAACATATTATAGTTCTCCTAATTAGTTTTTAAAACAATAATCATTATATTATAACATATAAATATTGTTGAATATTATCGTTAACCAGCATAATAATATACCAAAAAAATAATATAATAAATAAATATAATATAATAAATAATATAACAATATAAAATAAATGGTAAAATAATATATTGGGCAGTATGGAATTGTATATACACACTATAGTATAAACAAAAACGCAATTAAAGAAAATAAAAATTAATAAAAACAGGTGTCGTGCGTTCAGTAGTTGTGTCGTTTAATTAAAATTGCTTACCTTATTTATATAATTTATACTAAAGAGTAAATAAACATTAGTTATATATTCGTTTATATGTTATCAAACTTTTAAATTAACCTGCAGCATCAAAAATCTCATATAATAAATCATTAGATCGCAATTCAGATCAATATGGTAATTACAGAAATATTATATTACACCTTATTCGACCAAGAATTATTTTCGACTTAACATTGCTTTCAGATTTACATAAAAAAAGAGTCAAACCAAGCATTAAATATTATAAAATTATCTTTATCGTATAACATAGTCTTCAAAATAATTTAATCATATGTAACAGCATATACTTATAATAATGAACCGATTCTTAAATAATTTTACCCAGACGCTCGATTTTTTTTTTTTTGTGAGTTTTACAATAATATACGATCAAAGATCTGTTGGATTTACAATTTATATATTTTTGTTACCATATTTGGTCATTTGTTTAATTCATATTAATTATTCTGTATAAGTAGGACTATCGAACACCCTGCGGCTACAGACATATAACCCGCATACCAATCAACCATACATACATGTACCTACATTCGTTCAATAAAACGCGACAGTCCAACGAATTATCTTCAAATAGTGTTTACCAAACACCGTGAAAAATGGATTGTTATAGAAACCCCGCCAACGGTGTCGACCACTTTTGCTATACCGAATCCTTAGCCACTCATAATCTAAATTATTTTGTGAATTGAGACTTACAGGTTTACATAAGAATGTTCTTGAGAAAATACGGTAAAACATTTTTCCTGTTTCTTAGAATATAATGTTTAAATATATTTTCTAAATGTCACCTCGGTGGTCCGATTCATTTGTGCATACGTTTACTTCAACATACACACACACACACACACACACACACACATATATGTTAACGACAATGTGTAGGACAGGCATCGTTTGCGCATCAAAATAATATCAAGTTGGTAGGTAGTTACAAGCAAGTATTTGAATTACGTGAGTTTTTATTTAAAGGTAAATTAATAAAATATAGAAATAAAATAAAATTCAATAATGAAACTAAAATAATATTAAAACTTAACTAAGATTAACTATTAATCAATAGGCATATTTTAATAACCTATTAATTTTTACAAAATCAAATTGAAATTTAATTATTTTACCTGTGACATACCTAAGTCAATGTTCTTTAATGTGACATAGTTTTCGACGTTTACGAGCCCGTTATAAATCATAGAATAATGGATACTGCTAGAAAGAAAATTGATTTTTATGTATGTTTTTATTCGATGTTTCGAGCCATGCGCAAATGTCTTATA